GGAGAGATTGTTAATCTTTGCCACTTAAGTTTCCAAAACCAGCTAGCCATCTCATAGAAGTACAAAGAAACGGAGTGACCCTTGGCACAGAGACTTCTTCATATTCTAGTTTCACTAAGTAACAGGTCATAAAAGCTTATCTTTTCTATTCATGTGAACAGGCACTAGTAGACTTCGCCTATGAAAAGTTTTATTGAAGTTAGCAGCTTTTGTCTTTTCCCTTAATTATTGTTAGTAGTACTATACCATGCTTTGCTAATAGTAGGGTATGAAATTAACTATAAAGTAGCCAAAGTAGTACATACATACTCTTTCATAGCAGTGTGATCTTCAACATCTTCCAAAAGCCCTTTTTGTTTTATTTCAACAGCTGTTGAGGAAGCTGTGAGGCTCATTACTGGCGGAGCCCCAGAGCTCGCTGTGGAAGGCAATGGCCCGGTGGAAAGTAATGCAGTACTCATCAAGGCCGTCAAAAGGCCCCACGAGGATTCAGATGACGACGAGGAAAAGGGAGCTGTCGTCCCTCCTGTTCATGACATTTATAGAGCACGGCAGCAGAAGCGAATTCGGTGAAACGGGCTCAAAACCTGCCTCTAAAAGAAAACTTTTATCCAGGATTCCCATTTTGCCTCCTATGTCATATGTTTAAGAGACAATGCTTTGTTACAAGGTTCTTGGAAACAAAGTTGTATTGTCATTGGTGCCTCTATCATATGGTTCTTGAGAAAGAAAACCAACCAACCTGTGTGAATTTTACAATATGGAACTGAGAACAGTGCAAAATGGCAGAACCACATTTTGTTCCCTCTTCAAGGGTGTCTTGTATGTGCCACTTGAAGATTTTGTGAGTTTTCAATAGTTTTATTTTAAAACTGGATGGCTTATGATTGTAAAGCTTTTATCACATTTTTCTGAAAACAGTTGTTCTCAGTTTGCTTATGTAGAGTCCTGCCTTATTGTTTGTTTTATTTATGGCAGAATGTATGGAATCTGTTTTGTAGTTTAAAATTTTAAAACAATCCTTTAAAAAATAAAAGGATCTAAAAAAAAATAAGTCTTGTCTCCTTCTGCTGCTTTCATTCAGAATTTGTTTAAAATAGCTACTTATGTTATTTAGCCAATACCATCAACATCACAAGGAAGGGTCATACGTTATTTACTGTGTGTATACTGAACTGCATGTCCTCCCTAATCTTTTTTGGTACTAACTGAAAACATGAGGGATCCATTTTTTTAATATGTATTTTTATTGATTTCAGAGAGCAAGGGAGAGAGAGATAGAAACATCAGTGATGAGAGAGAATCATTGGTCAGCTGCCTTCTGCATACCCCCTACTGGGGATCAAGCCCACAACCTGGACATGTGCCCTTGACTGGAATTGAACAAGGGACCCTTCAGTCTGCAGGCCAATGCTCTAGCCACTGAGCCAAACCTGCTAGGGCCCTTAGTGATAAGAGATTCCAGGAAAAAAGTTGGCTCACTTACCTTCAAAGAGCAACAACAAAACAATTCAATGTGAATATTGTGCTTCTGAACTTTGCCTCCTTCACTCTTGGCTTTTGCCACTTGCGGAAGGAACTCCATCAGTGGAAGGAGGTGGGGGGGTGGCCATGAGAGTCTGTGAGGCATTACAATTTCAAACAAACTTAACTTTGTCAATTTAGGAACTCATGACGGAAAAAATAATACTGTAAGAGTTAATTCTTACAAAAGAAGGCAAAAGAATTCTTGAGATTTAGGAAGACTAACTACAGGAAGTGTATTTGGGGGTAAAGCTCCTCTCCTTCACCCTTGGAGAGGGAGGGAGAAAAGCCCCAATACTCTGGGCTGAGGTAGGCAAAGGAGTGCTGTCCCTGGGTGCTCGGGCTTGGAGCTACTATCATATAGCACAGCGGCCACAGAGCAACCTTAATCATAGGACCAATCCCAGAAGTGACCTCACTGAACACACTAGAAAAATTGAATTTTGATTTTTTTAGTTCTACTTACTTAACTTTTATCACTTTCCAATAAAACTAGGGAAGATTTGTCCTTTAGTCTAAACTTTTAATAATATGACTTCTGGCCACAGAATACAGCATGCATCTCTGACTACAACAAAAAATACATAAACGTGTAGCATGTACTTGGAGAAATTGCATTCTTCCCAATATAATCAACCCTTCCCTCCTCTGAAGCCTGGTTTATGTCTACGGGGTCTTTCTTCATTTAGCTGCTTCCAACTCCGTCCCTCCAGCCTACCCTTTTTTGCTTTGTTTCAAGGTATCTTTTAATTTCTTCCTTGACCTCATTGTTAATCCATTCATCGTTTAGTAACCTGTTATTTAGCCTCCATGTCTTTGTGTGTTTTTCAGGTTTTTTGTGTATGATTGATTTCTAGTTTCATACCACTATGGTCAGAGAAGATGGTTGATATGATTTCAATCGTCTTAATTTTATTGAGATGTTTTGTGTCCCAACATATGATCTATCCTAGGAAATGTTCCGTATGCACTTGAATGTATATTCTGCTGCTTTGGAGTGAAATGCTCTAAAGATATCAATTAAATCCATCTGATCTAGTGTGTCATTTAAGGCTGCTGTTCTCTTATTGATTTTGATGTCAATGGGGGTGTTAAAACCCCCTACTATGACTGTATTACTGTCAATCCCTCCCTTTATGTCCATCAAGATGTGCTTTACATATTCAGGTGCTCCTATGTTGGGTGCATAAATGTTTACCAGGGTTACATGCTCTTGTTGGATTGCTCCTTTTTTTTTTATTTTTATGTAGTGTACTTCTTTGTTTCTTACAGCCTTTGTTTTAATGTCTATTTTGTCAAAAATAAGTATGGCTGCCCCAGCTTTTTCTTTCATTTCCATTTGCATGAAATATAGTTTTCCATCCTTTACTTTTAGTCTCTGTGTCTCACGTTCCGAGGTGGGCCTCTTCTAGACATTGTATATATGGGTCTTGTTTTCTTATCCATTCAGCTACCTCATGTCTTTTGAATGAAGTATTTAAGCCATTTACATTTAAAGTAATTATTGATAGGTATGTATTTATTGTCACTTTATTTTTTAAACTATATTCCTCTTTCCTCTTCCTCTTCTTATTCTTCTTAAAGTAGGCCTTTTAAGATTTCTTGGATCTTTAAGAGGGTGCCTGTGGCCCTACCATGTAGCTCAGTTGGCTAGAGCATTGTCCTGATATGCCAATGTTGCAGGTTTGCTTCTGGGTCAGCGAACATACAAGAAGCAACCAATGAATGCATAACTAAGTGGAACAACAAATCGATATTTCTCTCAAATCAGTAAATAAAATTTAATTAAAAATAATTAAAAATAAATAAGTTGGTGCTTGGTCTTCAGTGGATGTTCGTCTTTCCCTAGCAGACACAAACCTCACTGCTTTTCACAGCCAGATGTTATATGAGTTCCTATTCCTGGCCTAGTGCTCTAGGCTTAGAACCCCCCCACAGTTGAGATATACTTCTGGGACCTCAGCAGCTGTCCGCTGGAGTGGGGCCAATGCTTTCGGATCTCCGCCTTTGCTACTAGTTTCAAAGTGGCTTCTGTAAATCCTTGGTTATAAGACTTCTCCTCAGTCTTCAGTTGTTTATTCGTGATGATTGTTCTATGTTTCAGTTGTAATTCGTTTGGTCCTTGGAAGAGGTGACTGTAGCTTCCACCTACTCCACCACCACTTTGGATCTCTGTTCTCATTGCCTTTACTAAAGGGATTCCTTGCATTATTTCATCCCTTGCTGTTCTGATAGCTAGAGGCCACTCCAATAACTTCATGACTCTGCTAATACAATGTCTCTGTCTGAAATACACATGCACATTTTATATTTTTTAATAGAGCAGGTAGTCTATGAGACCAAAATTCCTCTTTCAGTTACAAGATATGTTGGGAATTCTGGTCACTGAAGTTCCTCAAAAAATAGTGCTCAACACCCAGGGATTTTTCTATGACTTTCTTATCAAACAAGTAGTGAGTTCACATTATTTTATCTGAAATTCTAATCCAATCAATACAACAGTTAATTGTATGAGAGTGAATTTTTCAGTGAAAACTCCAGACATTTATCTCTTTTTATATTACTATATTTTAAATATATATAATTTCCTCCTTAACTCTCCAAAGTTTAAGAGTCAAAGAACTTCCTCTCTGTAGATCCCATAAATCATGTAACTGCTATCATCCAGGCTCAGGAATAATCTATAATAAAAGGGTAATATGCTAATTAGACCAGACAGCTGGACATCCTTCCAGACGAAGCCAGGGCTGCGAGGGCCGAGCCCCTTGCACGATTTTCATGCATCGGGCCTCTAGTTTTGTATAAAAGAGTAAGGTCTTTAAAATCAATTAACTCTCCTCTAGAACAAATGGGTTCTGGGGCTCTGGCTGAAACAGGCAGGGGAAAGGCAATAAATAGGGTCAGTGTCAGGGTGGGGGGTGGAGGTGAACAGTAAGACTACAGCCCTTTTATTTTTATTTTTTAATGTATTCTTAGGAGAGGGAGAGAGAGATAGAAACATCAATGATGAGAATCATTGATTGGCTGCCTCCTTCCTGCATGCATGCCCCACACTGGGGATCAAGCCCGCAACCTGGGCATGTGCCCCAACTAGGAATCGAACCATGATCTCCTGGTTCATAGGTCGATGCTCAACCACTGAGCCACACCGGCTGGGCTATCTATGGCCTTTTAACACAAAATACCTGGAGGGAGAAGGGGTTTGAGGCTGTGCCAGAGGGGCAAAAGTCTAGACAAGGTCATGGCTTATGCTCTTTCATTCTTGGGTGTCTGAAAGAAAAATTACCCGGTAACAGAAGAGAAGTCCCAGCTTTCTGGGAGAGACAGCTACAGTCTTGAGAGAGTGTGGGTGGAGACACATGGCAGTCAACCATTCCAAAGTTGAGTGCTTCCTGTGAAACTCAAGATAACAAATGCTTTCTTGATTTATAAACTTGCACTTATACATACAAACCCTCAAAATAGAATTCAGTGCATTTTTCAACAAGTCTTTTCAATAGTGATACACAATAAATATATTCTTCCTTTTGGAATCAATGCTATTAAATAGAAATGTACTAAAGAGCCATTTTCCAAAGCAACATTAGAATTGAGAACAGGCAATCTGAGCGGAGTAGATAATATCGCTGCTATTGGGAGCATACGTGTTAGGATCTAACAAGGATCTTACTGAGGACTGCATCATAGTAGGGACTGAAGACCATCTTGTTATAGTTGACCAGACGAACAAATTTAATAGCAACTTCCTCCAGCTCTTTGTGGACTGGACCCAATCCCCCAGGTATTGTGGGCAATGCCTTCTCATGGCCTGAGGCAAGGTAGGTTTCTAAGAAGGTCAGGATTCGGGAATCTGTGATAGAAAAGAATGCAATTAGTTGTTTCTTGTCCAGGGTGACTTTATAAACATGATTATGCTTCCATTTTTAACTTAAACATCATCTTTTTAGGAAAGTCTTTCCTGACCACCTCCCAGATCAGGTACCCAGAGCACCTTGCACTTCTGAATAGTCATCACATTTGCATTGTTTCCTCTCCCTCTAGATGGTTAGTTTCATTAAGGTAGGACTCATGCTTATTGTGTTCTTCTCTCCCCAGCATCCAGCACAGTCCCTGGCATGAAACCTGGCCCCTATAAAAGCTCAAAATACATTTGGAAAGCAAGAACAAATGTATGGATAAATACTGGGAAACCAGAGCATTAACAGGTTCTGCTCTCAGAGGAGCAAGTCATACTGCGACCAACATGAGCCATTGTTGAACATCACATAAAAAAAGTGGGATGAAAAATAAAGCAGGAATCACAAGTTCAAAAGCAGAAAGAAGATTCCAGCACTGATGGCTTGTGATCTGTCTTTTCCCACTAAGTCCCGTATCAAAGAAGCATGAAATTCCTTCTTTAATGCCTACCATGGGAGGCCATGGAGTTGGTGGCATTTGTGAAGTTGTCCTACTCTGAGGAATAATTTAGGTTGATGCTTTTTTAGCCCATTCCCTTCTACAATGCTTCTGCACTTTCCTGTGCGTCCTCATTAGCCAAAAAATTGTGAGTACAAGCCATATTTCTTACAGATTTTATTACAAAAGCAATAGGAACATTTATATTGAATGGGCTTTTCCACACTACTTGCCCACACCCTGCCCTGGGGAACCCTCTCAGGAATAAATGACTTACACCCTTCAGAACCCAAAAACGCAGAGAAACTGCTAACTGATCACCGAAGTTAGTTTGGTTTTCTAAGGTTCCCAGAGCTGGAAGCCTCACCCAGAAGTGGAGATCCTTGTGTCATTCCTTTGTGAGGGCAGGTTTCTATCTCCATGTCTATAACTGTTACTAAACAACCAGGATGGCAGGACAAGGACAGCTCTATTTACAGGCACTTTCCTGCTTCTCAATAATATTAATCTTGATGGTCAGAGGGCACGGCAATATCTTCAAGAGGCTGCTCCGGATGATGCACAGGTGAAATTGTGACCATTGCAGGACTGGGACAAAATATTTTTTTCAAAACCACTGATCCACGTACCCCTTTTTTCATAAATATGAAAAAAGTAAAAAAATATTCTTTTACTAAGAATAAAAAAAAAATCATAGTATTAGAAGCAGACCCACCACTGGTCCACCCTTCTATCCAACCTGATATCTAATAACCATGGCTTTTGGACCAAGGGCTGTAATTTCAAACTCAAAGCCTTCAAAACAATGATGGCTGTCTGGTCATTTGCCCAAACCTTTGGGTCACCCTAATGGCAAGTGGTGATCCCTGCTTCCTGCCTTCCCCCCAAACGTACCCATGATCCTGCGGATGGGGTTGTCAGGACTGGCCACCGCCTGGATCTGGCCCTTGAGCACGATCTCCTTGTCCGTGGTAAAGGGGGTGAACCCACACAGGGAAAGGCAGCTGCTCACCTCCAAGCAGACTTTCTCACCAATGGTTGTCAGGGCATCCTTCAGATGGAAGGAGCTTGAGTAGAAAAGAGAAAGGAGAAGCCAGGGAAGAAAGAACCTATAAACAAGGTGCACCTCTGCCCACGCCCTGATAAAAATCATACAACCAAGTTGTGGACTGATGTGTCCAAAGGAAACATCTGTGACTCTCTTCGCTGCCCATAACCTCTCCCCTCTGCACTCTCTCCCTTCCTCTCTCTTTCCTCCCAACCCCAGAAAGGACAGTGGGAAGGGGAGAACTCAGATAACGTCAGGACCAACAACTCAAAACCCAACTTCTTGCTAGCATGTGTGGTAAAATAAGCCTGGAACTGACTTAAAAATATCTTGCATTCAATACACCTTTTCCCTTTTAATTTTCGAAAGACGTGAGTATAACTACTTTAAAAGAATGAGTAAAACTGAAATCTAAAGGTTAAGAAAATTAATATATGGATTTCTTGGGGCCCCAGGTCTGCTGGAAACCCTCCCAGCAGCTGGGTATTCTGGGAGGTATTCTGCTGGTCTGCTGGCAGGTATTCTGTGAGAAGGCAATTACTTGCCTTTGTTCGGGGTCTAGATTCTTTAAACGGCAGAATTAGTGGGAGCAAATGTGCAAGCCCTGCACTCACTGCTGGCACCAGCTCTGACTGCCAGGGTGAATATGGCCATGCAGGGCTGGACTCCTAAGGACTCGCTGAACAGGGCCCTCTCATCAGTAACTTTGACAGAGCAGTGTTACTGGAGGGGAACCTTGGTGACAGCTCAGGGTTACACCTGCACAAGAGCCCCAGGCTAGGCCTCAGCTCAGCAAACACCCTCCTGCCCTACTGAACCCCTAGTCACAACATGTGGATGTGCCCCTCACTGCACCAGACACATGCATGCTTTATGCAAACTCAGCAGTAAAAGTCCTCCTTTTGTAAGGATGAAAATGTTTTGGGGACATTCCCCTTGAGCAATCTTCTCAATTAGACCTTGTCAGACCTTGCTTACTTAGAACCATTCTAAATTTTCCATATGCTATAAACCACATAAATGGCCTAATCTGACTTCACTGTAAGAGCAGTTACAGCAGCTGCCCTTAAAAGTTGGATCAGCCCTGGCTGGTTTGGCTCAGTGGATAGAGCGTCGGCATGCAGACTAAAGGGCCTGGGTTCGATTCTAGTCAAGGGCACATGCCCAGGTTGCAGGCTCAATCCAGAGTAGGGGTGTGCAGGAGGCAGTCAATCAATGATTCTCTCTCATCATTGATATTTCTCTCTCTCTCTATCTCTCTCCCTCTCTGAAATCAATAAAAATATTTAAGAAAAAAAAAGTGTGCATTAGTGCTGGTTGATAAAATAATCCAATATACCCAGCACAAAATGTCTATGAGAAATGTGCAAAGGGCAGAAAACTTTAAAAATATATTTTTATTGATTTTGAGAGAGATAGAAAGGGAGAGGGATAGAAATGTAAATGAGAAACATTAATCAGCTGCCTCCTGTATGCCCCGTACTAACCCAGGCATGTACCCTGACTGGGAATCAAACTGGTGACCTCTTCGTTCATGAGTCGATGCTCAACCACTGAGCCACACCAGCCAGGCAGGCAACAGGATTTTTATTAAAATATATTTTTACTGATTTCAGAGAGGAAGGGATAGGGAGAGAGAGATAGAAACATCAATGATGAGAGAGAATCATGGATCAGCTACCTTCTGCATGACCCCTACTGGGGATCGAGCCTGCAACCCAGGCATGTGCCCTGGACTGGAATCAAACCCGGGACCCTTCAGTCTGCAGGCCGACGCTCTATCCACAGAGCCAAACCAGCTAGGGCAGCAAACAGTATTTTTTAATGGAATAGAATAGAAATACCTGGGTGTATTAAACATAGGGTAGATTGCAATTTTTGAAATTTTTATTTACATATGTGATGTGTCTACGTGTGTACTAGGTCACAATAGAAAATAAATTTCTTACTATGGGTCCTGGTCAGAAATATGTGAAAGCCACTATCCTAGAGCCTTTCTAACATGGAGCTGATTCTAACTTTGACCATATGACTGAATAAATTCTGCTGGAGTAAAGAAAGCTGGAGAGCAAGGTCTCTCGATTCCTAGAAGATGGCCCTAGATCTTGCCTTACACTTGGAGACCCCAGTTCCCGCCTGCTCTCTGCCCACCCGCTGCCTCCACCCATCCATTAAAGGCCCTCTACACACAGGGGACAATGCCCTGGGAGGACCCAGGGTGTCTTTAGCCACTTACGGCAGATGCATATCTGTGAGCAGGATCTTCACGATCATCTTGAGTTTCTCAGCGAAGGTGGCCTGGCTGGAAACGCCTGAGGCAGCCATGCTGAACGTGACCAGCAGCACCGCCCCCAGGACGGTCAGGTGTTCCAGCTGGAGCTGGAGCTCTTGGAAGCGAGCCTGGTCCATCAGCACTGTCTGTGATGAAAACAGAAATCACCCTTGAGCTGTAGACTCAGGCTGCCAGCAGAGGGCGGTGGGGCCACAGCCCCCACACAGCCCTCTAAAGTTTCCCTCAGATTTCCTAGTCATTTCACAGCCATAAAGAAATCATGTGTGAATTATCCTTCCATTCACACGTGGGCTAAGACTAGGAGCCCCTTCTTCCTCAGAGAGGCTGCAGTAGAGCACACCCATTAAGAACACGAGACAGCCCTAACCGGTTTGGCTCAGTGGATAGAGCATCGGCCTGCGGACTCAAGGGTCCCAGGTTTGATTCCAGTCAAGGGCATGTACCTCGGTTGCAGGCACATGCCCAGTGAGGGGTGTGCAAGGAGGCAGCTGATCGATGTTTCTCTCTCATCGATGTTTCTAACTCTCTATCCCTCTCCTTTCCTCTCTGTAAAAAATCAATAAAATATGTTTAAAAAAAAAAAAAGAACACGTGACAGATTGGGTGTGAGCCAGACTCTGTCATTTAATAGCAGCATAAACTTTTTTTCAACTCAGCCCTAAGCAGAACGAGGATTCCTCCCTCACAAGGCTGTTTTAAAGATGAAAAAAGACTATGTATCTAAAGTGGCTGCCAGAGGCAACACTCAATAAATAGAAATTATGCCTGTCCAGTATGGCTCAGCGGTTGAGCATTAACCTATGAGCCAGGAGGTCACTATTCGATTCCTGGTAGAGGGGGTGGTGGAGGGGGTGCTCATGCCTGGATTGCAGGCTCCATCCCCAGTGTGGAGTGTGCAGGAGGCAGCTGATCAGTGAGTCTCCCTCACTATTAATGTTTTTATCTCTCTCCCTCTCCCTTCCTCTCTGAAATCAATACAAATATATATTTTTAAATAAAATAAATAGCCCTAGCTGGTTTGGCTCAGTGGATAGAGCATCGGCCTGTGGACTGAAGGGTCCCGGGTTTGATTTTAGTCAAGGGCACATGCCCAGGTTGCGGGCTCAATCCCCAGTGGAGGGCATGTAGGAAGCAGCCGATCAATGATTCTTTCTCATCATTGAAGTTTCTCTCTCTCTCTCCCTCTCCCTTCCTCTCTGAAATCAATAAAAATATATATACTTTTAAAAATTTTTTTAAAAATAAATAGAAGTTACATCATTAGATAGGAAAGGGTAATGAGGTACAGAGCACGGGTAACCAACTCATCCCAGTTTGTCCAGGACTGTCTCGGTTTTAAAACAGAAATCCCCAAGTCCTGTGAACCACCACCATGGTAAGAGTGAAATGCTCCACCTCTCCGACTCCACTGTGCAAGGCTGCCTAGTTTCAGGGCCTTCAGGCTAATAGCTCCTGCTGTGTCTGGCATACAGACATGCTAATCACTAGAGGAATTCTGCTGTGGCTGGAGTTTTACAAAATCAGCCCCTCCCACATTCCATTGGGTTGGTGTAAAAGAAGCCTGAACTCTGCACTTTCAGAAGGTGGATTTGAGGATGAGGTCTCCCATCTTCTTGGTGCCTTCTTGATCAATAAACCTCCCCTTACTCTAGGCTCCGATGTTTTGAGTTTTAGTCTTTCCAAGCATTGAGCACACAGACTTTGGACCAATAATACCACCCTCCCCACAACACATACACATACACACCAGTCCTGGGCAAACCAGCGATTCACCTTATCTGGTACCAGAGTGAAGGAGGAGAGAAAGTTCTTGAGGGCAGAGCCTACACTTATTCACCCTCAGTACCTAGCAGAAAGGAGATGCTCAAGAATTGGTAAGTGGTTAAAGAAAGAGAAAAATAAACAGTAAACGGAAAAAGTGGGAATGACAGGTAATATCCCAAAGCCTCCTGGAAAGCAGTCAGTGGTGAATTTCCATGGCTGTGTCCTGTGTTAAAGACACCCTGGGTCCTCTCAAGGCAATGTCCCCTGCGTGGAGTGAGGGAAAGAGCAGAAGAAAGACTGAGGAGATATGACTTCTGATCTGAGTTTTTACAGGTTAATCAAATGAACTTTCAGGACCAGTCTTGCTATAAGAAGCTGACACACCAACTCAAGGCAATAACAATTTGGGGTCTTAGCCCAGAATCCGTCTCAAGGAGTAAAAATTATCCTTGAAGATTGAGATTCAGTTGTTAAACACAAATGCCTTAACCAACTCCGTCTCTTTTTTTACTTCATTTTGCTACACAGCAGCGTCCTTACTGTGATGGCTCCCAATAGAATGCAGTATAGTGAGTTTAGGACGCCAAAGATTCCCAAAAATCAATCCCAAAAGTAATCATCTATCCCCGATGAAAACACCATCCTCTTCACAGCTATTTTTTTAAGGCTGAGAACTGCCCTCCAGCAGAGAACCCGCTCCCGACTCCCTACCCCTAATCCAGCACCCTCTTGAGGCACAAAACACGGAACTCAGAGGCAAGAGATGAAACCTTAGGCTTTCAATGTCATGAAAACAATCATAAGGAACTTAGAGATAAAGATATTTAGAGAAGTAGCAGTGCCTGCGGCTAGAGATCAGAAGCCAGGGTACCCTCAAAAAAGAGGGGGAGTCTACACACCAAACCAGCTATTTGCAGACAAAATGGGGAAATTCCTTGTTAGTCATCTCCTCAAAGGACTGCTGCAGTTAGAACTTACTGTGAAAAACACAGTAAGAAAAAATATTGCTCGGCATGGAAAGGGAAGAAGTTTCTTTAGATAAAACTAACAGGCACCATCAATGCTACTGTCTGATCAAGATGAGTAACAGGATAGCAGTTGAGCAGCACAAGCTGGAAGCCCCATACATTGATGATGGGACCATAAAATGAGCAGCTACTTTGGAAACCAGTTTGGCAGTCCCTCAAAATGTTAGAGTCACCACATGACCCAGCAACTAATCGTTTGAGATACCCAAGAGAACGGAAAACATACATTCACACAAAAACTTGTACCCAAATGTTCACAGCTGCTTATCCACAATAGCCAAAAAGTAGAAACAATCCAAATGTTCATCAACTGGTAAAGGAATAAACAAAATGTGGTATTGCCATGAAGCCTTAAAAAGAAATGCTGACACATGCTACAACATGGATGAACTCTGAAGACGTTATGCTGAATGAAACAAGCTAGACACAAAAGGACAAACATTGTATGATTGAACTCATATGAGGTACCCAGAGTAGTCAAAATCAGAGACACAAAATAGAATGGTGGCTGCCAGGGGCAGAGGGAGGAAAGAATGAGTTACTGTTTAAAGGGCACATAGCCCTGGGTGGGGAGTTCAGTTGGGAAGAGTATGGTCCCAAAACACCAAGGTTGCGGGTTTGATCCCTAGTCAAGGCACATACAAGAGGCAACCAATGAATGCATAAATAAGTGGAACAACAAATCGATGTTCCTCTCTCTCTTTAAAATCAATGAAAAAAATTAAAAATTTAATTTAAAAATAAAATAAATAAAGGGTACAGTTTTAATCTGTGAAGATGGAAAAGTTCTGGAGATGGGTGGTGGTGATGGCTGCACAACAATGTGAATACTTAAGGCCTTCAGAGGCCCTGGTGCATTACTGAACTATATACTTAACACTGTAAATTCTGTAATGTGTATTCTACAAAGAAAAATACAACTAAAAAAAAAAAAGAATGACATACTGACACATGCCACAACATGGGTGAACATATCTTTAGTGAAAGAAGCCAGACACAAAGGCTGATACTGTATGATTCCACTTATAAGAAACGTCCAGCACAGGCAAATCCACAGAGACAGAAAGTAGATTCGTGGTCAGGGGTGGCGGTGGAGGGTGGGGGAGGTAGTGACTGCTAATGGGTACAGGGTTTCTTTTTGAGGTAATGAACATGTTCTGAAATGAAATAACGGTAATGGTCACATTACTCTGTGAGTATCCAAACAAAACCACTGAATTGTACAATGTAAAAGGGGAAATGTTGTGGTATATGAATTATAGCATCACAAAACTATTATTGTTTAAAAGTTCGGCAGCACAAAAAGAAACAAGCAGTTACCCTGCTCTGGAACACTTACCTCGGGGAAAGGTTGCTGGAGGTGGTCCCACTTCAGAAGCTTCAGGTACGCGTAATTCTGGACAGCAACGGGACTAGGCATGGGACTGTCCCCCGAGCCAGCGGCCCCTCCTCCGGCTGGCAGGGCATTTTTATACGTCTGATTCATAAGGTCATCTGCGGCTTCTCCCAACCACTGGGTGACAAAGTCCAGGGAATCTGTGAAAAACAAGGCTGTGGGCATTACTGTAACCATCAGGAGGGATGCTTCTCGGAATTACCTTTGGGAAGACCATCCTGGAGGTGTGGTAGAGTAGAGAGAATGGACTTTGGAATCAAATAGAACTTGGTCCAAAATCACAGTATCACTAATTACTGGCTGAGTGATCTTAGGCCAAGTCATAATCTGTCTGAACATCAGATTCCTAAAATAAGGAAGTGTGCATCACGTGACAGTCTGTTGTGCGGATGAAACAAGATTGTGCCTATAAAGCACCTAGCCTGGCCTTGCCACCTACAGAGGGTCAATGACCTGCTCTCTTCTCTCACACCCTGGCTTTTCCTTGTCTAGATCTTAGTCTCGGATCAAGCTGGTTTACCATCAGCCTTGCGGGAGGTGAGCTTTGTCACACATTTGATGTGTATTATGCAGCATTTGGAGCACTGCTGGGGGACCTCAGTTGTCTTTCATCCACTATCACCCTCTTCCTACTTTTCTCAGTAGAATAAGGCACCAGGGACTCTGAAGGACACAAGAGAAAGAAAATGAGGCTCCTGCCACATTATCTGAGCAAGAAATCCCTCTGGCAGGTCCTGGAACGGGCTCAGCTCTGCCAGTGGAGTCCACCTGCAAACCCGTGGGCAGCCAAGGCCACGGCTGGAGTTCACTCTTGGTTGATGCAAGAGGACACACCTCTGCTTCTGTCAACACAGGGATCACACGGAGCTCTTGGTTCTGAGCTTTGCTCTTGCTTTAGCCTTCTTCTGCCAACAGCATTCTCAAGGCCCAGCAGCTTTGGGAAACCTTAGCTTTTATGCTGTGAGTATTAAGTTCTGACTCTGGCCAGCAGTGTGCCCTTCGCGGGGTCCCGGCTGCCGAACCTGGCTCTCATACTAAGTCTCTTCCGCCAGTCAGACCGCAACCCTGCATGTCTCCTGAGAGGCAGGACAACACTGGTTGAGGAAGTGAGCTGTGTGGTCAATCAATTCTAGCCAAAAATCTCTCAAATCTATGTCCACATCTATAAAATGAGGTTAAAATATAGGGCCCACCTCAGAGGCTTAGTGTGTGAGGGTTATACTTGATAATGCACGTACACCCTGGGCACAAGCCTGGGACGGAACAAACATCAGCCAGTCTTCCTCTGGTCTGATACTTCTACTCTGCTCTGTCCTTCTCCTCCTGGCCCAGCACCATCCCAACTTCTCTGTCTGGGGCGGGATGAACAACTGCTCAGGGCTGAATGAACCATTGTGGTCCGGCAACACAGTCTATGCCGAGACAGGCACTTTCACTTTGTGACCAGCAAAGTTACAGGCTAAACGGGACTAGTCTTAAAATAGATGTGAAGACTGGAATTTACCCAGACAATAGCTGCGAATACAGAGACCCACAAGTCACCCTCGAAATGCAACGTAATTTTGGATTCTATAGTCATCTGTTTTCCTGCAGTCGTCTGAGAGGTTCATAAAAGTAAGACTTTTCTGGGTCTGAAGACAGATTTATGAATATGAAACAGAAGAAAAGTGAAATTTCTTGATGTACCTCACAGGGAGGAGAAAAGTGAATCCAACAGTCACAAGAAGTTTGTCATGTTTGTTTCATTTTTTAATTTAATTTTATTTTTTATTTCAAAGAGGAAAGGAGAGGGAGAGAGAGATACCAACATCAATGATGAGAGAGAATAACTGACAGGCTGCCTCCTGCAAGCACCACACTGGGGACCCAGTCCAAAACCCCAGGCGTATGCCCTGACCGGGAATCGAACTATGACCTCCTGGTTCATAGGTTGATGCTAAACCACTGCGCCATGCTGGCTGGGCTGTCATGTTTTAAAATCGAGGCCAAGCACAAAATTTATCTCAAATTGGTGTCATCATTAAAAACCTATTTAAGATCATCATTCTTTCAATTTTCTATTCTTTTCTTTAATCCTTACTCAAGAATGTGTTTTTTTATTGATTTGAGAGAGAGAAACTTCAGTTGCCTCCCATATGTGCCTGGACCGGGGATTAAACCCACAACCTGGGTATGTGCCCTCACCAGGAATCAAACATGTCACCTTTCGGTGCACAGGACGACGCTCCATCCAACTGAGCCACACTGGCCAAGGCTCATATTTGTATTTTTATATCCTACTTATATTTCTCTTGTTTGTCAATTAAACTTTCTTTTCAAGTACTAATGTCTGTGCTTTTCTGTCTTCAAATAAGACTATTCTCACACTAAAGTTTTGTTTTGAAAATAATATTGTTATGCAACAAGCTACAGCAACTAAAATTAAAAAAAACAGACGACAAAAGAACATCCCAAAACATTTAAACATACTTGGCTGCTTCTCCAAAAGCTCTTGAAACTTCTTCCTTTCATATTCAACTGACTGCTGCATGAGATGTGGCCTGATGCTACTGACAGCAAAGTTCGCCATGTCCACTTTCATTAGGTCCAACACAGAAAAAATTGCCCTAAAAGAGGAGAGCAAAGGATTTAGAACTGGACACTTGTAAAGTAAACATAGTTTTAACAAAAAGAGGTGATCTGAGACAGTCTTTTCAACTCAGAAAGGTTGGCAAGAAAAGTTAGAAAAATCATGAGAAAGTGAATTAAGAAAAATACATTTAGAAAACACAAAATACATTTAGAAAACACAAAAGCTTAAGTAATAGTTTGAAAAGACTGCAAATTTTTAAGCTGCTTTCTGTCCCCACCCCTTTACCCCTTGCCCCCAAGCAAACATAGCTCTCCCCACTGCCTGTCTAGACCAGAATGCATTCCTTGGCTTTGGGGCAGCCCTCACAGCAGCCACAGAGGAAGGAAGGAGCCAAGATTCGAGGTTAAGGGCAGAGAGCTCATCACCCAGGAGCTACTCTCACATAGGTTAATTCACTTTCCTAGGAGAGAAAGGAAATGAACTCTCCTCTCTCCTCTCCTCCTACCTCAGTGTCTCTTACTTCAGGGCATGCTTTACATTCTAGTTCTGGTGGCAGAACTGCTGTTTCATTCTCCGAATGTACCCAATGAGCAGACTTGACACAGTCATCCCATCTTAAGAACCTATCTTTAGGAAATAACCTAAAATACAGGTAAAAGTTTTGTGCACAAAGATGTTCATTGCTGGGTTAAATAGTAAATAATTATACATAATCTAATTGTCGATTTTCACGCACACACAAAAACCTTAATTATATGCAAATGAATATTTTGCAGCTATTGAAAATGCTTATAGGGAGTTTTTTAAAAATCATATAAGTTGGTTATAAAAGAGCAATGCAAGAGATCCTTGTGGTGTTAAAACTGTTCAGTAAATTAAATGTGGTGGCAAATACACAAATTCACACAGATAATAAAATCATATAAAAATACACAAACACACAAATATATATACAAGTAAATCAGGAAACCTAAGTGAGAGTAGTAGATTGTATCAATGTCAATATTCTGGTTGCAATACACTACATTTTACAAAATGTTACCATTGAGGGAAAACTGGATAAAGTGTACTATATTATTTCTCACAACTCCATGTGAATAGACAATATCTCAATGACACTTTAAATTTCCAGAGACATGGAAGCATGGAACAGATGCAGAATCTCAGAGGGAAGGTGGGGGAGAGTAGGTGGGTGGGGGGTAATCAACCAAAGACCTTATATTCATATATGCATAACCCATGGACACAGACAATAGGGTGCTGAAGGCCTGGGGCGGGGAGCAGGGGCGGGCTGGAGGGGGTCAGTGGGGGGAAAAAGGGGACACATGTAATACTTTCAACAATAAAGAATTATTTTTTAAAAATAAGTGAAATGATTAGGGTATAATGTTAACAGAAAAAGTCAGGCCTGCAATGCCCACTAAGTCTCCTCAGGTTCAACTGAATATTCAGACTCACAAAACTGTCATAAGCCACAGCCTTGGCACCATCTATTCACACAGCTTGCCAACAGGGCAGCTCCAAACATTCCTCTTCAACAAGAGTTACAGTACCAGCCACAAGCACACAACTCAGACATGTGGGAGCCACCTGGCTTAAAAGCCTCAGGTGAGAAAATATTTTTTTAATTTATTTTATTGTTTAAAGTATTACAAATAGTAGTACATATGTCTCCTTTTTTTCCCCATTGACCTTCCCCTGGCCT